AAAGATCCTCACCCTCTTCTTCATCCTGTCTGCTTACCTGCACTCCCTCTTCTTCATCCCCATGAAATCCTCTCTCAGGGTGTTCCTGTACAGGCCCTGACAAGTTGCAGCTTTTGGACACCCTTCATGGACACTCCCTGGTGTCCTTGGAGGTAGCTGGAGCACCTCTACTCTTTTATACTCCTACTGGAGTGACTCCTCCTGCTGATTATGCTCCCTCATTGCTCTCTCTTCCCTATCAGGATGAAATGGTCAAGCTTCAGGTGACCTTAGGGCTTACAGTATCTCCTGCTGGGCCCTTGGGCCAGTCAGCTGCTGACCAAGGCTTCCCTGGGGCATTGCTAAATTCCCCTGCAGGACACCAGGTGGCAATGGCATGTCGTGTGCTTTGTATGAGCTCAGAGAAATCCAAAGTCTCCGCTAGATCAGGACTTTTGTTCTCGACGAAAGCAATTCTCGCGTTTACTGCAGATAACTTGATGCAGTGCAAGCAAAATTCTCTTCAGTAGTAAAGCAGCATTTAATAATGCAGACTGTGGACTCTGAGGTTGGTTTCCAGAGAACTAAAATATAGGAAGAGAAACATCTCTAAGTCAAGAAAAGCAACATTACTGAACTTTAAGAACCTCTTACTTATTAAGTGCTTTGGCAAAGTGCGAATTTGAATAGTCCTTCCATCTTATGTTGAAAAACATATCCTAGTCCTCATGTTTAAATGTGTCCTCTAAAGGTACTATACCTGGTCATCTGGATATTTGAAATGCTATTATGCTTTTAAGGCAACATTTATCTACGGTCCATAGAATCCTATAACCTTTGAGTCTTAGGACCTATGAGTACCCTTGAGTCATTGAGACCTGTGACAGTATAATTTTTCAACAGTAAATAAATTATTTAAGTGTCAAAAGTTATTCCGGAGTTGAACCTACAAGAAAGAAGATTGAATTCATGTCTCATTTAACATGTGAGCTAAGCAATAGGTTTACCATCAAAAACACATTTTTTTTTCTTTCAGATATTTGGAGCCCCGTCATTTGATGATAAAATCTTAGAAGTTGTCGCCGTATTTGGCAGCATGCAGATGGCAGTTTCCAGAGTCATCAAACTGCAGCACCACAGGATAGCACAGGTTCGTTTCTCATTTGAAAGCATGTGACATAGTTGGCAGCAGCTTGGGATGCTGGAGAGTAGCAGTGCTCTAGATGGCCGCTGCCCTATGCATTAATAAAGCGTTGACATTATTTTAATTTTAGCAGCTAACAAGTTGTCTTGTGTGACGAATGAACTATAAAAGTGCTTCAGCCTTGAGACAAACCTGGAGGGAAGCCACGGCTCCTAGTAATCAACATATTTCAGGTGGACTGTCAGTTTCATTAGTATTTATTGCTCTGTAAAATAACATGTTTGTTCTTCTCCAGTGTCGGTCAGTAAAGATCACCATACTTGGCGATGAAGGGGTTCCAGTGCAAGTCGATGGAGAGGCATGGATCCAGCCCCCCGGTGTTATTAAAATTATACATAAAAACAGAGCTCAGATGCTGACACGAGACAGAGTATGTTGCAGAACCTGTGTTGTGAGATACCTTGATTATTGTTGCTTTCTATAGTAATTTGGTTCAATCATAATGTGAAGAAACAGAGCTTATAAAATTATAAAAGACATAATTAGAGCTTATAGCAGAGTTTTCAGTTTTATAAAAGAGCTTATAATAGAGCTTTCAGTTTCATGACTTTATATAATTCATATAATTATTGATAGTTATATAATTTATATAATAAGCCTAGCAGAGAATTGTTCAATTTATATAAACGACTCAGGCCTTTGTTAACTTTTATGTGTTTGATTAATGATATTCCTTTATTGTTATTACTATGCGAAGATGGAGAACAGTCAAAATTGGATAGTTTTTTTTTTTGATTTCCCTGCAGTACGCTGTGTGTCTGTGTATGCCTAGTCACATATGGAAGATTTTAGCACAACTGCAAAGTTACAAAATCTCCACTTTTCAGAATACGTATTTGCAGATTTCTACCCCCTGTCTCTGGCCTGCTAGTCTTCCCTGTTCCCGATGACACAGTCTCAGAAATCAGACACACAAGCAGAATCTCATCACAGGGTTGCTGCAGAGGTCATGTTTTCCTAGGGCTATGCCATAAAAGGCTTAACTGTCCCTCAGTTCTCTGTCCCTAACTGGCTGTTTAATTTACTCTGGAATTAATAGCATTTGCATGACTTGTTTATTAAATTTGTTACCCTTTTTAAAAAAATTTTAAACGCGTTTTTTTAGGTTTGACCCTTTTAGTGCTTTCAGATTTGGAACTTCCTATCCTTGCAAAATATTTCTATAGTAATGTCTTTGTGGTCGTATAGTTTTGAAAAGGTAAAGATAAAAGGAAAGAGTCAGCTTTCAGAAGTGACTTATTCTCTCTCTTAACCTTAAAAAAAAGAAATGCCATTTCATTATACATAGAGCTTGTATTATATATGTAACATCATGTGCCCTTCCGCATGCTTTTATATGCATATATGTGTACACACACATATATATAAGTAAATACTGCAAGTGCTGTGAACTGAACGTATCACTCATTTTGACTAGGCTTTTGAAAACACCCTGAAGTCTTGGGAAGACAAACAGAAGTATGATTCCTGCAAACCTGTCATTCGATCTCCCTTGTACCCTCAGCAAGCTGTTGAGTTGGCTACAGAAGAGGAAGTTGCACAGATCCAGCTGTGCTCACAAGCTGCAGAAGAGCTTATTACCAGGTACAGTAAAATTAATAAGGTTGTGTTGGCAACCTGTACACGAAGACTGAATTATTCATAGAAATGCTCATATAGGCTTAGAAGGGTATATTTTTCCCTGTCTTCTGATTAATGCTCCACTCTATTTTTTGATTTGGTGAGATTTGGGATTTTTAAGGCGCGACTCGTTTATGTGTGTAGCTGTTCTGATTTTTTTTCTAGTAAAAGCTGACTTTTTGAAGGAGTAATGGAAACAGAGAAGCAGATTTTCTTTTTTGAGAGAGGTTTTTGTTTGAAATGCCTCACTTTATACAAAAACAAAAATACATTCAAGAAGAGAAGACGTTAGAGATCAGCTTTGTAAGTCTACGCTATAGAGGTGTTCGTATGATCTAGTACTGCCAAGTCACCCATATAGTCATTCATATTTCTAGATATATCTAGAGTCCCTGTGCATTTGATCCCTTTTAGCTGTGCCCTTTACAAGAGGAGCCTGTATGCTAGAATCATCTATTTCTCTCCATTGGTTATAATGGGAATCCTGATGACTAGGTCAGGTCTAGGCATCCACGGCGCTGATGGCTCCTCATAACATGAATCTCAGGTGTTTGATGCTACATGGTTTTGTCGTTGTTGTTGTTTTCTCCTGAATATTTGAAATATTCTGCTATTCCAGATCTGACCTGCCAAGTCTTTTCTGCTGTTAACTTCACTGTTTCACCAGCACTGCTTCTTCTTCCTTTTTTATTTCTCCCTAAGGGCTTGTAATTCACATTGAGAACAAAAATGATGAGCGCTTTTCACTGACCCTTAAAGTTTTCTTAAAAGATTGCAGAGCTAATTACAACACCAACATTCAAGAAGCTCACGCTGCCAGATAAACACTTTGTTCCTGTTCAGCCAGTCACTTGTTGTTTGTATTTGTTTACTAGCTTTCAAAATCCTAACATCTCTTTAGCCCTGGACACCTCATTAATTTCCATTTATTGAGATGGTACTGAGCTGCTGCTACAAAACTGATCCCGTGACCTTGCTTCCTTCAAGAACAAAATTCTCCCTGAAATGCAAGGTTTTTTTTTTTAATAAATCAAGATATTTTCTAAAGCTTCTATTCAGTTCATCAACATGACAAATTATCTTAAACCTCCAAATTAATTCTTGGAATGCACGTTTAGTAGCAATATAAGAGAGGAATCGAAGAACTATGTATTTTCTTTATTCTGTGGTATTGGCTTAAGTAGGCAAGGAAGAGTGATTTATGTTATAATTTACCCAAAATGATGTTTAGCCAAAACACCTTAAAAACTTTACTGTTCTAAAGGTCTATTTAGAATTACATCTCTCATAATCTCAAACTGTTGCAGCCAATTTTAATGATGTTTCTGAAGGAATTCTTGAACTTTTTCATAATATGCTGTGTGTAGCAGGTGTAATTTTTCTATTTTCTATTTTCTATTAGATAACTTTGTGTAGGTTATCTTAATAAAGTAGAGCTTTCCATTGATGTTTACATGAATTAATAGCCCCACATTTTTGGTAAAGTTCTTGTATGGCAATTTTGCTTTAAGAGAAATAAATCTGTCTTGGTATTTCATAACAGTAATAAATCTTCTGTATTATGAATATCATTTATATGAGGTGCTCTGTTGCTAAAAGAGATTCTTGTATTTGAACTTTTGTTATAAGGAACTATAGTTAGGACTCATCAGAGTGTTTTGTGAAATACATTTTTGTATATTTTCTCATTGGATGGTATATACTTTAAGAACTGCTCTGTAAATACAAGAAGATCTATCTTTCTCTTTTTCATATTTTTGTAGAATCTGTGAAGCGGCAAAAGTACACAGCCTCTTGGAACAGGAGCTTGCTCATGCTGTCAATGCATGTTCACATGCATTAAATAAAGCCAACCCAAGGTTTCCTGAGGTAAAGGAATAACAGAGATTTCCTTATAAGTAAATAAACTGTACCATCTGCTTGCCTAAGGTTGTGAAACAGAAGCTATTCTATACTCCCAGAACATCAAATTACACCAAATATGAGGAAAGTTCTTGAAGTTTTTGATAACCAAAACTCCCAAATACGCGTACCCATGCTCAAGTTTAAGTCACTCTGCTTCATGGATGGATGGTTGCTGTATC